GCGCGTAGCGGGCGCGGCCCCAGCGCAGGGAGCGCAGCGGGCGCAGCACGCCCAGGCAGCGGTGCACGCTGATGCACGTGAGGAACAGGATGCTGCAGTAGAGGTTGGTGTAGAAGAGGAAGCGCACCAGCTTGCAGAGCGCCGTGCTGAAGGGCCAGTGGTCGCCGCGGGCGTAGTAGTAGACCAGCAGCGGCAGGGAGGCGGCGTACAGCGCGTCGGACACGGCCAGGTGGAACATGTAGGTGGTGGACGCGTTCCACGTCTTGAGGCGGCACAGGAAGATGTAGAGCACCGCCACGTTCAGACCCAGCGCGAGCACGCACACCGCGCCGTAGGACACGGGCAGCAGCACGTACTTGAAGTCCTCGTTGAAGCGGCACTTGTAGCCCAGCTCGTCCCCGTCCCAGGTGTCGTTGCTGGTGCCGTTCCAGAGGCCCAGGCCTGCGGCCATCGCCCTGAAGGGAAAGGGGTGGGGTGGGGAGGAGGGCCGTCAGGGTTTGGGCCGGGGCTCATCCAAGAGGCCTGGCGCACCCACCTGGCCAGGTCCATGAGGGACCCCAAGTACTACTCAGATTCCTTTGGGTAAGATCTGCCCCGGGCCAGAGTGGGTCAGCGGTTGAGCATCCACCTAGGATCCAGGAGATCCAGGTTCGAGTCCCGGTCAGGGCACATGCCCGGGTTGCAGGCTCAGTCCCCAGCAGGGGGCGTGCAGGCAGCCAATCATGACTCTTTCATCATTGATGTTTCTCTCTCTCTCTCTCCCTCTCCCTTTCTCTGTCTGAAATCAATAAAGACATTAAAAAATTAAAAAAAAAAAAAAAAATCTGCCCAACCACGTTCAAGGCCTTTGTTGCCATGTGACCTGGCTCCCTGGACCCAGAGGGCCCAGAATTTCAGAACCCCGGAACCTCAAGAATGCATGAGAATGCATGAGATCCATAAATATCAGAATCATACAATTCTAAAACTTTAGAACGGAGGCCAAATCCAGCCCACCGGTCTGTTTTTATAAATAAAGCTTTATTGGAACACTGTGTGCCCATCTGTTTATAAAGAGTTGAACAGTTGTGACAAAGACCATATGTCCCGCATCTAAAATATTTACCATCTGGCTTTTTACAAATATAAAGTTTGGAGACTCTGCTCCAGAACCTCAGGGACACAGAGTTTTAGATCTGGGATTCTGAACTCTAGAATCTGAGGATCCCAGAGGGTATCATTTCAGATTCATGGGCAGGGGCCCTTGAGGCGGATGGGCTCCACCTCACACCCAGTGCCCACTGCCTTCTGAAGCATTCCTGGCCAATGGGCAGCCCATACCTTCCTGGAGGCATTAGAATATTCTTTCCTTAAGTTCATTCTTCGGCTCCCTAAGGAGGCTCTGGCCCTGTGCCTGGTATTTTGGTATTGAGGAAGTATTTCCAAGGGTCTCCCTCTTCAGTCACTCATTCATTCGCTCAGCAAATATTTTTTAGATGCTTTTATGTTCTGGCACTTTCTGCATCTGTACACAGCAGTGCTGCTTGCTGGCCTGTGAGGCTACCAGATGGAACAATGTCCCTCCTGAAAATTCCAGAGAAGTCTGGGGTGGAGGTGGGAGTGGGAACAGCTGAGGATTTCACTTGTGGGTCAAATTTAGCTTCCTGCAGGCCTACTTAGCTTTTCTTCCACACCATCACTATCTTGAGGTTCTCCTACCTTATCCATAGTGGACATATAACACACCCACAGGGCCTGACTACCCAGTGAGCACCTGGAGAACAAGTTGTCCACCTTCCTCCTCTCCCCACCCCCACCAATGTGACCAGTAAGAGCTGTCTCTCAGCTGGGAAGCAGGAGACAGATATCCCAGTCTGGAGGGCAAAGATGTGCCCAAAGATCCCAGAAGACAGGCTAGAAATCCTAGCATGAGTCTCTGGTGGGCAGGTTTAGGACAAACACAAAAAATAACTTTCTAACAGTGTGAATGGGCAGGGGGAGCTGACATTTTCAAACCCTACTACGATGTGTGCTTTGTGCTTTATAAGTGTCCCTTCATTCCACCCTTACAACATGCTTCTGGGAGCCAGGTTATCATGCCCGATAAAAAGGCTGAGACACAGATCATTCAAATACTTTGGCCAAGGTCACATAGCTGGGGACAGGCTACAATTCCTATCCAGGTCTGTCCCACAATAGAAGGTTCTATTGGAGGGAGACAGTGAACTCGCTGCTTATGAGGATGTGCAAGCAGAATCTTCAGTAAGGCTCATATCCTGTGTGTGAGTGTGCCTGGGAGGACACAGAGGGCAGATGAAGTGTGAGTCCTCCCTCCCTTGAGAATCTGGAGGTGTATAATTCCCTTAATTTTGGAAGCTGGGGTCCTGGGATTTGGGGATTCTGTAGGACCAGTGATATCCACTCCTTTAGACCCTAAGCTTCATGCCCAGCCTGGCCTCCCAGTTCAAGGCCTTTGAAGTTGAGATTAAGGGGACTGAGGGACACAAAGGTGCCTCAGTTTCCCTTCTTTCCCAGTACTCCACCCCTCACCCTAGATATTCTCTGTCTCCTGTTGTCAGCAAAGGAGTAACCAGGAGGAAGGGAGCCTATACTCGTGACCTCCCTCTCATGGTCACAGGTTCCTCCCCAAGGAGCTAAGGCAGATCCAGGGTGAGGAGGCAGGGGGAAGCTTATGTGGCACCAAGTGGAGAGGGAGCGGTTATGGAGGGGCTCTGGCAGGGCCAAACTGCTGGGATCCCTCTTAGCCCGGGGCTAGGGCTCAGGACCTGGCATTAAAGCATTTCCTGTTCCCACCCCTGCGCCAAGCAGCCCAGTGTCACCTCCACCCTTGCTGTTGGAGTCACTGCATCAGCCTCTCTGCCTCCAGCCCCCGTCCTCCCCCAGTCCAGAGGGGTCTTTGTAAAAGACAAAGTCATCCTCCTACTTGAAACCCTCCATGACTGCTGTAAGGAGAAAGCCCCTGCCAACCTCACTAGCGCCAACCATCCTCTGTATAAATGACCTGCAGTTTCACTTTTCCCCTCCCAGCCTTGGTTCACTCAGCAAGCCCCAGTGATTACAAAGAACTTGGCTTCTGGAGCCAAACCTATTTCCTCTTCTGTAAAATGAGGTGATTATTGGAACCTATATCATAGAACTGCTGTGAAGGTTAAGTGAGTGATCTGTGTAAAATGTTTGGGGCAGTGCCTGACACACAGTAGGTATGCTGTGATGTTATAAGCTTCAAGGCTCAGCTCAGTATGTCCTTTTCTTGAAATCTTTGAGACGTGCTCTCAGGCCACTGGTGGAGGAGTGACAGGCTTTGACTGAAGGCTGTGGAGCAGGTAGGTGAGTGTGATGGGCCAGGGGAGCGATCCTGAGCCCATAGCTGGGGCCAGGCCTGGGAACCTCAGAGGGGAGCGATCTGAGAGTTGTTTGGGAGGAAGGCTGGAGAGACTGGCCCAGAGGGAGTCTGGGTAGAGGAGGGCAGGAGAGAGAAGCAGACAAGGGGCCTGGCTCAGGGGTTGGGAGGAGCAGGCTGGGGAAAGGAGGAATCCAGTGTTAGACAGGGTAAGTATGGGGTGCCCTGAGGGGGTATGGTGGGATGTGGGGATGGGCCAAGGCTGAGGCCATCAGATCTGACACTTTGGGAGGTGTTCTGGTAGTTGCTGGCTTGCAGAAGCTGCAGGAGGAGTGTGGAGGCTCAAGGATGAGACTGAGGATCTGTAGAGGGGCCACCAGCTTGGGGTGTCCAGCTCTGACCCAGAACCTCAGTGACATCAGGCATTTCCTGCCCTCCTGAGACCCAGAGCTCTCATGAGCTGAATTCCCTGGCCTTGGAAAACTGCGGCCATAAAACTTCCCTCATGAGGCCCTCTTCCCCACTGGAGATAGGGAGCATGGCCCCCTCCATGACACCCAGTCCCATCTCTGTGCTGCTGCTTTAGCTCCTGCCCCAGTGCTGAGGTCTGGCAGGTGTCTCCTCGAGTTGGGCCAACATCCCATTGCTCTGCACAGTGCTCTTGCTAATCACTAGTGGTGGAATCTCTGACACTAACGAGGGGGGTGGAGACTTCCTTAAGTCTCCATTGAACCTAGGGAGATGCCCTTTCCACCTGCTTTAAGACATCCTGGCCTCCACCCTCCTAGGCCAGCTGGGGATTCCATAGCCATGGCCCCCATCCAGACTGACTCTGCCCACCCTCTCCTTCCACAGGCTGGCTCACCGACCTGGGATTACATCTTTCCCTACTCCTCGGGCCCTGCCTATGGAGACAGCCAAGTCCCCAGCCCTTTCTTCTGCCTTTTCTGACCTCTGATGTCCTTGGGGCCTCACTCCCTGCTCCCTTGAGACAAGCTCCTGCCTCACTTTGTCTAACACCACTCGCCAGCCCCTCTATGCCCAATTCAGACTGGCCCTGCCTTGAAGAGCTCCTAGTCTGGAGGGAGCTGGGAGCTGTGTGTCCTACCAGGCTTCCTTGCCTTTGTGCCTGCTGTTCTCTCTGCCTAGAAAGCCTTTCCAGAACCCACCCACACTGCACTCCATCCTGCCCATCCCTCAAGGCTCTTTTCAAATGTCATCTCACCTCTGAAGCTCTCCTCCTAACACCCCCCACCCAGATATTCCGCATACCCTGTTAGTAATTTGTCCATCCACCCCCTACCCCAACACATTCCAGGTGCTCCCAGAGGACAGGGTCTATCTGATTCTTTTCTCTATCATCCAGCAAGAGGCGTGATTTAAAGCAGGTATAACATAAATGAGAGAATGAATGAATGAGTGAATGAATGAATGAGTGAAACAAGCACAAAAGGCCATGGGAGCCCAGAGGAGGCTGAGCTTTATGACGGTGACTCTTCTTTCCCTTATTCCTCTGAGAGCCTCCCAGAGGACAATGACACTTAAAGATTTCTCAGCTGCTCACCCTAGGTGGCCAGGAATCACCCCAGTTCTTCTGGGGCCGAGCCCACCTGAGGCTTTCTCCTGCCCTACACGGGTCCCTGGACTGTCTCTCTTTCAAGAGGTGCAGAGAAGACCTTGCCCTTCTCTGGACAGAGGGAGGGGTAACTGGACCCAGGTATTCTGGAGATGGGTCAGCTGTCTGAGCTAGCTACATTTCACCCATTGCTGGCTCAGATCATGGGTCAGTCTGGGTCAGGAGCTCCTGATCTTGGAGCTCCACCCCCTCACTTTGTAGGGCCCCAAGCCTGGGCTGAGCAGCTTCCACACAGCATCTTTATTTCATTCCCTACCCTCATCCCTCAGTAGATACTGCCATAGAGGTCAAGCTATTTGTCCAAGGTCACATTGCCAGGAATTGGAAAAACTGGGCTTGGCACCCAGGGCTTTCTGGCTCCAGAGTCTGAATTCATCAGAGCCTGGGGTGAGGGAGCAGGGCAGGGATCCCCTTGATCTACCCCCGTAACACACACATGCACACACCTGCCCCAGCCTCCCAGCCAGTGGCTCCC